GATCTCACCACTCCCCTCCGCCTCCTGCACATACTCCTTTGGGAAGGCTGACATCCAGCTGTATTCCCTTCCCTTTCTGTACTGCTCATCTTGTCATCTCCAGGCTGAGCACCCTTAGAACTTATCTCCGGGCTCAGTGCCCCCACAGTGCATTCCTAATTCCTGCCCACATCCTGGGTTGCTCCCACGCACCACTGGCCCACCGCTAGCCTTGCCACCTAATTCCTTGGCCTTGGTACCAATACTCCTGGGTTTACCTCCACCCTCCCTCACCGCTTTCTGGCTTACTATGACCTAAAGTTCACCTCTCCACATCCAGATCTCAGACCCGACCTCCTTCCTTTAGTGACTGCAGGAGACTGACTTCATCTCCCATCCTTTCTCTCTGGTCATGCTTCTCTTTGGACCAGGCTCTCCTCCACTACTCTGCTCTAACAATTCCCTCAGGAGCCTGTGCGAGAGTAGGCGGCCAAGCTGTTGGAGAAAACCACAAAGGAAGCCACAGCCACTAAGCTCAGAATGCTGAGCTGCTCGTCTTGCTGTTTGTCTGATCATTACAACCCTTCCAGATCTCCTGTGATGACTGAGCCAAGCTTTTCCCCACTCTTTAAATCTCCCATCAGTCCTTGCCTCATCTCCTGCCTCCCTGTGCCACTAGGTGCAAAGGCTCTACACCAAGCCTGCCTGGCTCGGTCCACCTGAAGCCTCTTCCTGCTAGAACAGATGGAGGTCCCTTCCCTTGAGCTCAGGCTCTTCTCCTAAACCCTGGTTCTGCCTTGGGTACAGGGCCATTGCTGTCCATTGTTTTTTCCTCGCTGTCTCTTCCTCTTCTCTCTGGGCTGCTTTCCATCTGCATTTACAAATTCTCAAGTAGCTGGGCAAGGCGGTGCACACCTGTAATCCCAGCACTCAGGGAGGCATTTTTTTTTTTAAGATTTATTTAGTGTATGAGTGTTTTGCTTGGATGTGTGTCTGTATACACATGTAAGTCGGAAGAGGGTGTGTGATATTTGTACATTAATATTTACTATTGATATATCTTTTAGTAAAGCTATGGTTAATCCTAAACAGCTGTACAACCAAATCACCACACAGAGACTAGGATTTATTTAATTAACCTAGAACATAATGCTGGGCAATAGTTATTCCATCTTAAACCTCCAAACCCGCATAGTTTCCTACCATTCAGATTCACCCTGTATACTTACTTTTAGTGATATCTTAGGTCCAGTTCCTTTCTCCATCTCGTTCCAAGACCTCTCCTCCCACCTCTGCTCTCCTCTTCCCCCTCCCACTACTTCCTCTCCCCAACTCTGAAACAGGATGTCCCACCCTACCCTCTCCATTTCTCAACATTGTGGCTGGTTGTTTTAACTGACACATTAGAGAACAAATGGTGGCGTGTTTACACAAACTTGAGACAGGTGATGCCTAGAATAAGTATCACAATGCAATGTCCGGATTGAAACCAGATAGTGGGGTAGAGAAATCAGCATTTGAATGAACAAGGGTGAATTGTATACATTCCAAAAGAACATTATACCAACAAGGGTGTGGGGACGCTGTGGAGTTGGAGTTAGGGATAGTTGTGAACCACCTTGTGAGTGCTGGGAATTGACCCTGGGTCCTCCATAAGAGCAGCAAGCGCCTCTAAAGCTGAGCCATCTCTCCAGGTCTCTGCCTACTCCTTTTGACCTTTTACAGTCAAAATGAGTTGCCTACACTCAGTGCCTTTCTGTCTTTAATGCACGTATGTATGTATGTATGTATGTATGTATATGTAATTGTTCGTATTTGTCCGGTTTTTCAGTTATTAAAATGAACATATAACTGCATCATTTCTTCCCGTCCCGCTCGTATTCTCCTTCATCTCTCATTTGCTACTTAGGCCATTCTTCTCTTCACCAGTCGTGGCCGGCAGAAGTCCCGACATCAAAGCCACCAAACCAAGCACAGACCAACACTCACCCGCTTGGGCTCTGCTGCTGGCTCCTGCCTTCTTTTCTGAGTCTGCTTGCTCCCGGCTGACTCCCACCTCCCAAAGCTCCCAATCTTCTCCCTGCCTCATTACTGCTCTTTCTTTCCCTGGCTGTGAGATAGCTCACTCTGCCCACATCTCAGGTAAGAGCAGTCAGGTTGCAATCTGAGCCTCTCCCTCCCTCCCAGACCACCTCCCTCCCTCTCAGACCACCTCACCTGTTTCATGGCTACAGCAGCACCAGCTACTCCAGGGCACAACGTGCTCCACAGCACATCTCACAGGCACCTCCCATCTGCCCTGGCCAACCTGGACTCTAGTCAGGATTACCCAGAAAATGGCCACCCACCCTGTGGGAGCTGCAGCACTTCCGAGCTTTCCTTGATTCCTCCCCATCCAATCAGCTGTTCTCTGCTGCTCCGTCTAGACCCACACCCTCCTGGCTGTGCCCCACCCCCACCCCCACATCCTTCGTAGGGCAGAGAATGGCTTACTCGTAGTGTAAACTTCAGAAGATGATTTCTAGTTCAAATGTCTCATTGAATAGAATCCGGGCTCTTCCTCTTATAGCCAGAAGCAGCTAGAAACTCCTGTCCTGGTTGTTTTTATTTTTACTTTTGCCAACTTGACATACGCTGGAGTTATCTGGGAAGAGGAACCTCAGCTGAGAAATGCCTTCATCAGATTGTCTGAAGTGCACCTTTTTTTAAATTAATGCCTGATGTGAGAGGGCCCAGCACACCTGGCACTGTGCCACCCCAGGCAGGCAGCCCTAGGCGGTATAAGAAAGCAGGCTGAGCCAGGAAGCAGCGTTCCTCCATTGGCTCCGTGTCAGCTCGTGCCTTGGTTTCCCTTGATGAACAGTAAGTCAAATTAATGCTTTCTTCTCAAGCTGCTTTTGCTTGTGGTGTGTTATCAATAGAATAACCAAGACACTTTTCTTGGATGACCCCGCCCCCAATGGTCCTACCTTTTTACACTTCCTTTGGTCCATATGGTAACTACAATTAAATAGTTTTAGTACATTAGTATATTTGTTAATATGCTAAATTAATTAGTAAGTTTAGTATAGTTAATTATTAAGCACCTTTCCAGGGAGGCTGTGAGCTCCGAGAGAAAAGGATCATGTTTGCTGCTCCAGTGCTTGGCATGTGCTCTGCACGGAGGCTGGACTGCACTATTTTATCTGCCTATTGATGATGACTCCCATCACAATCGAAGAGATAGCACAACAGCTGAGTGCATGTGGAATCCAGCCCCGAGTTACTTCCCCAAAGTCACAGTGGAAGCGGGCAGGCACCGTTCCAGTGGCACTCAATGGCACCATGGAGTGAATGCTTTCCTTTTTTATTTTATTTTTTTAACTTCAGGGCCCGGGCAGCTTTTGGCAGCTGTAGAAGACTCAAGCTTTACTTCCCTGTTGCTTGCCAGCTGACTTTACTCAAAACTTCTTGGCTAGCAATCCTTGAAAGCATGTCTGTGGCTACCGAGGGCGATTTAGGGGGAAACATAGTGGAGAATCCAGTTTTGTCTCCTCACGGCATTTCAGTATCAAAACAGCAGCCTGCAGGTAGCCAAATACACAGACCTAACGTCTAATTTGCTTCGTTTAAAATGTTTTATTAGCTTTCCGAATTATAAATATAATCGTGTGAAAAACCCCTCTGAGTCAAGAAAAGCATACAATTTCTCTTCCTTTCTTTCCCAGTGGTTAACAGTTTGTGTGAAGAGATAAAAATCCAACTTGTTTTCTAGACTTCACGATGCATTCTTAGGATCATGTAACAAACATACACACAGACCGGTCTGGAGACTGCCAATCTTCACCTTTCCAGAGGCACAGACTCAGAATTTCTTCCCCGGGATGACCGTGGGCACCCACGTGGCTCCAAGCACCTCGCACTTAACTGTTTCAACTGCTGAGAGTGAGCGCTCTTGGCTGACTCCATCTGACAGCCTTCTGAAAACAAAAACAAAAAAACAAAAAAACCCAAACAGGTGTAGAGTTAATGCCTCAGGGTGATTAACTCTAGAGGTCGATCAAAGGCTTCAGCGATAAGGATAGCGGGGGGAGAGGCTACCAGGCGCGCCCCCGGGCCGGGGCGGGTCGGGGGGGGGGGGAAGGGAGGGACCCGGCTCGGTGCTCAGGGTGTGCCCGCCAAGCCGGCCCACCCAGCCCTGCAAACTAGAGCAACTTCTCTTTCCAGTCTCGCCGGCTTTTTCCCCGGGCCTCCCCTTAGCGTGCAGGGCTCCAGGGAGCCAGCGGAGGCGCTGGGTTAGGGTGAGCATCGCGGGTCCCGCGCGCCCTGCGCGTGGGTGTGGTTGGTGCCCAGCCCAGCGGCGTGACGGTGGGCGAAGGTCAGCGTCCATGCGGCTAGCTGCGCTCGGACTCCAGGGCCCTCTCACGGAGCATTCCTGGCTTCCCGGGACGCGAGTGGAACCACGTGGGAAACCCATGTCTTTGATGGCTTCACGCCCCAAGATGCGAAGGGGCCAAACAGGCACCACCCTCAGGCCTTGAGCATCTAGGTGGCTGCGGGTACTGGGTGCGCAGAGGTCGGGTCCACCTAGGTCCGGGTTTCCCTCTCCCCAACCACGCGGAGCCATCTGGGCCTAGCACAGGACCATCAAAATCAAAATTCTCATCAAGCGCCACGCAGACGGCGCTGAGGGGCCCCGGGAGCTGAGGAGCTTGGACTCTGTGGCTGCTGTTTTTCGGGGGGAGGCTACTTCCTGGGGGATGTGCGTCTCTGGAGGTGGCTCTCCTGACCGCAGCCCCGGGTTTGCTAGGTGCGACGCCGGGCGGAGAGCCCGGGAGGGCCCCGGAGAGCGATCCCAGCGGGTCCCGGGCGCCGACTGGCGGGAGGACGCAAGTTCAGCCTCTTCCCAAACTTGGGCCACCGGCAGGAGCGCGGCCGTCCGGGCGGTGACGCGCGGCGTGGCGCGGCGTCTGATTGGCCCGTCGGGCGAGGGCGGGGCCGAGGGGGACGCGGCGGGCGGCGGCGGTGCGGGGAGCCGCGGCCCGGGAGAGAGGCGCAGCGGCCGCCGCGGCAACAAGTGCTGGAGCCCAGGCGAGCCGGGAAGCCGCCCAGTCCCCGCCGGGCCGCCGGGCCGCGCATGGAGCGAGAGCGGCGGCGGTCGCGGGGCTGAGCCGCACGCGCGGCCGGGACGTGGATGCGCCCGCGGAATCCCGCCCCGCCCCGCCGAGCTGGAGCTGCCCCCGGACAAGGTAGGGCCGGGCGGGTGGGCACCGGCCCTGCGTCCCCGCTGCGCCGCCGGGCCGGTTCCGGCCGGTGCGGACGCCCTGCGCCCCCGCCGCCCCTCTCCGCCTCCCGCGCCGTCTGCGCATCCGCTCCTTCGGGCCCCTCTCGCCTCCCCGCGGCTCGCCTCACTCCCCTGGCCTCCGCACATCACTTTCCCGGCCGCCTCACCTCCGGGATCCCCTCCCCGGCCTCTGCTGCTCCTGCCCGCGTCCTCCCCTCCGGTCCCTCTCTCCCCTCCTCCTCCCCGACCTCCTCACCTGCTCGGCCTCCGCTCGCCTCCGCCCTCGGAGAGGGCCCCTGCCCCTGCCCCCTGGGCCGCACTGCGCCCCGCACGCTCGCGGGGTGCGGGCCTGGGCGGCGGGGGAGCCCCGCCCGCGCACTGCGCCGGTCTCGGGTGCCGCAGGGGCAGATCAGGTGTTGGCGAGCTGCTGGCTGCCGCTTCGCCCCCCAGCCCGCAGCCCCCCAACCGCCGGCACTGTTAGTTCCGGGCCCCCAAAGGCTGGTTCCTGTGAAACTTCGGGGAGAACCTTTCGCTTTGACCTCAAAAAAAAAAAAAAAAAAATTCCACGCCGCCCGTGTTGAATGATTAACCAGGACAGAGCCCGGGGAGCTGCCCCTGCGACCAGCAGGTGGGCGCACCCGCGGGCGGGCACCCCTCGGAGGACCGAACGCCCAGCGCTCGCCTAGGGTCCCCTGAGCTCGCGGGTCTTGCGTGGGGAGGAGGCTCGGTGGAGACTCCACCCTGGTGTCACGGCGCGCGAGGTCGTGTTGGAAAGTAGATGCACGCATTTTGTAGCCTGGGCCGCCTCCAGGCTCGCTCCTGCCCCGAGTCCGGGGCGGCTGGTCTTTGCTCCCCTGCCTGCAGTGAGCGCCTCGGCCACCCCGGACTTACGGTAGACTGCAGGGAAGCCCTTCCCCCACGCCTTAAGCCGTGCTTTTCAGGTCTCCAAGCTCGAGTGTGAAAATGGGCATCTTGTAACAGATCCTTCCAGGGCATCTGTTTGTGCCTCGGAAGGGGTGGGTGCTTAAAGAGAAGGCCGGTGGGCCTGAAGGGGAGCCAGGAGGGCGGGACCTGGAGTGGGGGTCCGCTCGGGCCAGGCCGGTCACTTACCCCTGACCTACTCCCACTCCTGTTCTTCTGAATAGAGGTGATGGAGCCTCACGGAACCGGGGAGTTCTACGCTTGGTCCTAGAACTCTTTATTCTTGGTTAGGTTTAAGACCGGAGAAGTGAGCGGGAGCCTGAGTAATTTCCGCCCCTTCCAGTTCGTGCAGAGGTGTTTAGCGGCAGATCCGCCCCAGCTCCTTTCTCAGCCTGGAATGTTGCTTTCCCCCTCGGGACTCGGCCTGCGGCTCTTACCTTCGTGTTTTTGTGTAGATGGCAAATGTATTTTTTTTAAAAGTGCCGGATTCTCCGTTAAGCTTAAAAGAGTCCCTTCACTAGTCTCCTTTCCGACACGTGCTGTTAAGCGACAAGTTAGTTTTCCCTGTGAGCCTTGTTTCCCCTATTTAGTTTCGGGAACGGGGTACTTGGTCTGTAAGACTGTTTTTGAGGACAGATAAGGTGCTTAAGCAAGAGATCACAACCAAGTTCCCGCTGGCCTCAGCTTCCCCTTGCAGAAAACCACCAGTGATCTGTTGTAATCGTTCAGATGTTCGTAGCCTGAGATCAGCCGAGCTTGATAGATGCACATAGCAGATTTTAAGACCTAACTAAAGCAGAGGTAGTCTTTGAGAAAAAGAAACATAATTTGCTTCTGAATCGCTTTTCCTCAAACCCCTTGCTTTTGAAGGCCTGGGCATCGGAATTTCTTATAGTTTTGGAAGATACACTTGTTTTTTTTTAAAGATATCCTGGTGCACGCCTTTAATCCCAACACTCCGGGAGGCAGAGGCTGCTGGGTCACCGGTCAAAAGGCCAGCCTTTGCTGCACAGAGAAACCTTGTCTTGGAAACCCAAAAAATAATTTTCGAAAATCACGTAGATTTCCCTAAAATACTACAGTTATTCTAAAACAGGGAAGAGGGAACCGGTAATTTACTGTTGAATTTCCAGTATACAGTTTCCAGTATACTGCTCAAATGTGTGTGCATGTTTTTTAAGAGTTATATTAGGAAACAAGATCCAAAAATTATTCCTCATCTTAAAATTATGCTGTTGGCTTAAAAGCAGGGATAACCTGCATTAGAAATTTGTGGGGCTTCTTTTGGACGATGAGAGCTAGAGAGAAGGGGGAGTCTTTGTTTTTCAAAGAAACTGCAGCTTGGCTAATGTTTTGTTTTTAAAACATAAGGTAGGGCCAGGTGTAGAGCCAACACCTTTAATCCCAGCAACTTGGGAGGGAGGCAGAGGCAGGCAGAGTTCTGAGTTCTAGGACAGCCAGGGCTACAGAGAGAGGCCAGATCTCACAACAAACAAACGAACAGAAAATAACTCATAATTTAGGGTCTCTGTTTGACCTACCTTCAGACATTGGGTGGATGCTGCTAATTCTTTCTAACCAGTTTAATGAGCATAATAGCAAAAACTCTGCAGGATTTTAAAACAGCCTTATTGGACAAGTCTGTTCATCCTTCAGAGATTACTAATTACAGTTCATAAATATGACATTTTGCAAGCAGGCTAGTACAACCTATTATAACACACAAATAGTGGTACATAAACGACCCAAACTCAGAAATTGTCGTAGAGGTCTTTTGGTTTTCTGTAAATGCTTTGGGGTCAAAAATCATTGTGATCAGTTGTCTGACATTTTTTTGGCGTGTACAAATTAAAGCATGAATTGAGTGAGGCTCACTTCTTTTGAAAGCACTAAATATTTCCTAACAACCAGCAAAGGAGATGGCATGTAAGCCCCGCCCACCCTGCCCCGCCCAGATGTAGCTCCAGCTGTCTCTCTTGCTTCTGGAGTGGGCACTTGGTGAATCCGTTCAAATGGTAGGATGAATGTGTTCCTCTCTGGAGAGGCAATTACTGTTTGGATAAGAGGTGTGTGCATGTGTGGGGTGAGGCTTTTTGAGAACTGATGTAATGATTTCATCATCACCCGCTGGTGGAGTGGCCTTGCCAGTCTGAGCAAAGCCTGTGTGAAGAGCATGAAGCCCTTTCTGTTTGATGGGGCATTTGTTCCTGATGTAGTTGTACTGGGAAAAGTTATTCCTGCTGCATTTCCTATTCGTTTCGACTGTATGTTGCCCGTACTGTGAGTTTCTTACTTTTGCTGCCAACTTTGTTTGCTTGGCATGCCTTAATTATTGTAACAAAATCCAAACTTTTTGAGAGCCAGCATTGTATCTGATAAATTATAATGTGTATTTTAACATTTGTATGCTGGTAGGTGTCCACATTTCTTTATGTAAATGCAAGAAATTATTTCAGATTATTTCCTGTGTTTCTATAGACATTCTCTCCAGCAGGGTTTAATTTTTTTTTTTTTTTCAATTTTGTGGGGGAAATTCCCAGTAATTCCCAGAAATTGATACTTGCCAGTTTTCATCCTGTGACATTTTAAACTAGGTTTATTAGTTTCTTCACTGAGATGATTAGGATATGTATTGCTTACTAGACATTCTTTTCTTTCTTTCTTTCTTTCTTTCTTTCTTTCTTTCTTTCTTTCTTT